AAGATTTTTTCAGGTTCATCCGTCATCTCATAATAGGTTTGGTTCGAGGCTGCCAGCACAGCTCCGTAGTCGAATGTGAGCTGATCGTTGTTGTATTTTCTGGCACATCCTATTGATAAGCAAGACACGTGATTAAAACGTACTGGATTACAAGGATGGTGTTAACGAGTGAAAGGTAAACATGTATTGCGTCTATCAGCTGTGAAATACCATTGGTTCCTCTGACCGGTAGAAGATTGATCAGAGAATCATGTCGGGGCGCAGGAAAATGTATAGGCGGACAACGTAGTTTTATCAGAGAATGTAGAAGCCCCAAGCTGCAACGTATCAGAGGATGCAGAAGCTTTGGGCCACACCGTAGAGGCACCGGGATACAATGTATAAATATCTGCATACAATGTAGAAGCACTGGGATTTAATGCAGCATCGTAAGAGAATGTAGAATCACTAGGAAACAATGCAGTATCGGAAGAAAATATAGGATTCTCCATACATCTAAGATATGGTCAGAAGCACATTCAATAATGACTATCTCGCTGCAAGGGTGGTAAGCCCTGCTACTATCATCTGGCCAGTTCCGACCCATCGAACTTATGACGGGCCAAAGTTCACAGAAAACGGTAGGAGCGAGTCCCCGCGTAAATCGTGAGTTTTTCTGATCGGGTTAAGGATCTTCCACTGGTGGAATTCCTGGAGGCTTCCATTAATCCTACTGAGTCGGTTGAGGCGGCTCTTTTCCCTTGTCGATAGATCTCTGGTAGTTTTTCGGTTGGGCGTCCTCGGCTTCTACCAAAATTTCATCCCCCATAGGCTTCTGAGGTGGATGATGCCTCGACTCCAATCCATGAGTATTTTGGCGTAGACGAGACTATTCGGAGATCACGTATGGGAGGCAGAGATAAATATAGAAAAGCAGGGAGAGATTTGAGGCAACCCCCAGGCCTATTAGAATCGGATGTCTACCTATCCCGTCATAAGGGCATCTATACGCAACAGTATGGTTTGCCTGGTGCTTACTGTGATCTCGGAGTAGCCTCGCCCATCCTTCTCTTTTTCTGCTTGCTGGAAGTAGTTTTTTCGTGTTCCTTTCGCTTCAAGCCTTGCGTGCCAGCAAATTCAGATCTTTCGGGAGCATTGATTTGATCATCTAAGTGACTAAATCGACCCGTAATGTAGCCACCATGACTCCTCCGCAGCTCCGTCACTTTCTCCTTGAGATCGGTCACTTTCTCCTCAAGTTTGATCTGTCCCCCCTTAAGATCAGTTACTTCCGTCTTGGGCTCGATGGCTTTCTCCTTGAACTTGGTCAAATTCCCCTCGAGTTCCGTCACTTCCTCAAGTTTGGTCACTTCACTCTTGAGCTCGGGTGCTTCCTTGAGCTCGGTCATTTCTTCCTTGAGTCCAGTTACTTCTTCCTGGAATCCAGCCAATTCATTGCTCGACTCTTCTAGCTGGCATTTTGTGGACACTATGTTGATTAGCCTCAAGAAACCAGAAGCAAAGCTCTGAACGTACCTGAGGGACCGACTTGAGTCAGCAAGCTGTCCGCGGCTACCTCTACTGCTACATATTTGACCCCTTTCACTTTCTGATAATAATTAGCACACTATGGACATTTTCTCATCGGTGCTATCATTGAAGTTCCAGCACTTGATCCCGCAGAACAAGGTTTCGTGGGAGACAACATACTTTCCACATGTCAGGATCCTCGACTGTTTCTTGCGACATGGTGTAGTGCGTTGGGTAATTCACCGTGCAGTAATTCAAAGTGGGATCAAGAAGGAAGTCCCCTTGGGACGACGAAGGTCAGAGTGCGATAATCCTTGTCGATAAAGGTGGTTTCAAATCTGTGTTCCTTTCCTAATCATGACGAAAGCGCTTGAGCTGGTATAACAGGTCTTGCCTCACATTGGCTGATGAAAGCTATCCATCTTCCAAATTGCGGGGACGACCGCAATTGAACCTGGCAGTTAGGCATGTCGTGTTACATCGGATAGAATGCGACAGTTGGATTGATTAAGTTCATCTTCAAGCCGTGGGCTGCCAAGGTGCGGGCCGCTCAAAGCGGCCTAAGACTTACGTTGTTGTGTTGAAGTTCTGCGGCTTCATTGATAACGAAATCGCATTGATTGGTGCCTTCCACCAATCTCGGCGACTCGTCGAACGACTGTAGCGAATAGTTAGTTCGCCCCTGTAGAGGGTCAGTAGGTCCAAGCCTCACGCATTCCATTGTGGCACAATACCACGACGTCCTAGATTAGTAGATGGCCGTGTCTCCGTCGCTCACTTCGACAAGGATTGAAGCGGAAGATACATCTAGAACGTCATCTTTCCGACTTGCCGTATTGTTATTCCAGCGACAAAGCAAGGTCTCAAAAAAATCACTACAATCGAAGTTGATTTGTGGCACTACATGCATATGTTCATACAGCATTACCAGGGTACCCCTTCTAGCAAGGTTGGCGCTAACCACGAGTTCATTTTGTGACGCAAATCGTCCATGAAAACCATGAATCGAATGTCTTAGCGCTACCGCAAAGTTAAAGCGGGGAACAAGTGCCCGCTTCCGCAACCTCGTCTGGGTACATTTGAGTCGAAGAGAATGCACTAATCTGTTCATTCCGCCACTTGTAGTCGATAGATCGTTCGAAGGAAGATCAGCCAAGCAGCTTGGGGCCGAGCATACCTGATTTACATGGTTTGCTGTTTCGGTGATTACATGGGCGTGCATAATGTTGAAGTGCACCCATCCGATTCATAGTAGGCTTTGAGGCCAACCATGCTGCCATACTGTGCGTCAAATGACAGCGTCACAAATCGAGATTGCTCGCCATCTATTATTAATCAATCTTGCATAGCAACACTTGCCTTGCTAGCCGGGAAGTTAACTGATCCTGCGAGGTTGCAAGCCAAACATTTTGCGCGAATTGTATTTCTGTAAGATCTAGGCAATGTATTCTTGTACATTCACAAGTGTTTGTGACCGCCAAACAGCGCCCGTTTCTTCACCTTGTGTTTTCCAAGTCTGCCCTCTGCCTCCGTATTCAAGAGCTAATGCCTTCTGTCCATCAATCTGATAGGTATTACCAGGAATGTTCATCGTCTCATCTACCAGCTTCGTCCGAAGATTCACCTCCATTCTGTATCCCGGATCCAATGCTTCCGCCACTTCCAAAAACTACGGATATATCAAACGTCCCAGATCCAGTGTCGTGGAATGGCCCAGCTCGATTCAACGTCCCATCAAACGTCCCATCGAATGCCCAAGGTCCACCGAACATTCTAGCTCTATCGAACGTCCCGGATCTCTTAGATGTACCATCAAACATTCCAGATCCATCAAAGGTTCCGGATACATCAAACGTCGAAATAAACGTCCTAGTTCCGTGGAATGTTTCAGCTCAATGGAATAATCAAGCTCCCCAGTATATCCAAGCGCCATGGAACACTCAAATTCCATGGAATGCCCCAGCTCTGTTGGATCCTAACCCTTACGTCTTTTCAAATCCCCAACCTCTACTGGAGCCCTCGGGTTCAATAGATCCCCCGGCTCTATTGGAACCCCCGGCTTCATTGAGTACTTCAGCTTTAGCAGAATCTCCAGCTCCATTTGGTCCGCCAGGCCCATTGAGTTTTTCGGTTTTATCAGAATCCCCAGCTCCAAAACGCCCAGCTCTAAATCCCTCAGCTCCAGAGCACTCAGCTTCCCCAACCCTAGCTTCAAAGACTCCAAAACGCTCAGCTCCAGAGCGTCGAGCTGCAAAACGCTCCTCTCCAACGAAGCCCCCAGGGTCTTGGAATTCTGATAAGGCAGGCAACAATGTCGGCACGTAAGTACCCTCGCTACTCCAAGGGCAAACCCGTTACTTATTGTTCTTAGAATTGACCAATTGCCTTCATCAAGTAACATGGCATACCTTAAAAGCACACAGACCCGGGCAACTGTTACGGAAACAACACTTTCGCCGAAGATCGAGATGCATGCCCCAATTTCCATCGCTGCCGACCAGCTTGATACATCTACCCAAGGAAAGAAACGTCGTCTGTACAACTTCAAATGTGACAGATCAATTTCTGGTGGGCAGAGTTGCACTGCAAAGTTTACCATGATAGAAACACTGCACATGCATTTTATGGCGCATGATGGCGAGGGCTTCAAATGCGAGGATTGCGGAAGGGTCTTTCACCAAATGTATGAATACCGACGCCACCAACGCATGCACGAAAGGGTACGGTCAAGGAAGGCGGTGAAATGCGCGTTGAGTTCCAAGTAGGTTGTTCGGTGTTGGTAATTACGTAGCGCTATCGTTAAAAATCATGATGTTTCCACCCTCGAACCGGCTGTCTTCGCTCACAAATAGACGGAAGGCAATCCAAGAGATGTTAAAAAGGCAGAACCCAGAAGCGGATAAAGAATACTGGACTTCTATGAATTAATGCCGGAGGACCTTCAAGGAGCTGGGTCGCGAAGCATTCAGGAACTTAGTTTGCGTCAACATATGACGTGAGGGTTTCATCCGTCATCTCATTATGGAGAAGGTAGAGGCAATAAAAAGAGGGCACCGGTTGAGGCGCCCGATTAAGGGCCACGACAGGAGGATGAAGCAGATACAGGAGCTGGCCCAGGTGTTGGGGCAAGCGATGCAAAGGCTAAGGTTTATCCCCTGTTGAATATTACACAAAGACGGAATGCAATTATACTCGGTTGGGTGAAAGCACAAATAGATAGCACCGTGCGACGGGGTATAGACATGTTATCGATTGTACACATGCAATACATGCTAATAGTAGGTTGAAGTATTTAGGGACACAAGACGCCCAACTGGATATCACTATACATCCGGAAACCAAAGGGAGATTCAGTCATTACGGTGGTTTACGGGATTCGCCTCTCAACAAAACCGTCCGTAGTAGTTGCCCAGATTAAAGCTGGGGGCCAGGGTTTTGTGCTCCGGTAGGTGGTCCCCATCGGCATGCGTGCGCCAACAGTCGGGGAAGCGGGAAGCGCGACCGAGAAACAAGGGAGAACGTCCATCGACGGGGCTCGTCCGTGAAAGCCATGAATGCAGCCAAGTAACGCACGTAATACATGGGATCCACTCCCGATCCTTTTCGCGCCTCCCGCGTCTCGCGCCACCCTCCTGTCATCTGATCTGAATCAGTATTAGTTCTCGTTCATAGGTCAGACAAACTTGAAAGAAGCAGCTAGAAGGAGGCCAATCGGATGCCACGTACTAAGGTATCATTCAGAACTACCAAAATATGCTGCTAAGCTATTCTCCCAGACTATCTACGGAGTACATTCTCCAGCGTATCTATCGTATGCTTCATATGATCAGGTAGGTACACTCTTAAGTCCGTAAGAATCATGCTTACGTCAGCAATCTTCTCTCGTTGCTTTTGCAGCACCTCGATAGAGGTTGATAAAATGTCCTGCTTTCGGTAGAGAAGTGGTCCTATATCTGTCTGAGTACAATTCATGCTTCCAAGTTTCTTCCAATCCCTACCATATCCCCATGCGCGCAAAAGGTGCTGATGGCGGATCAATGGTTTTATCCCATCCATTCGACTACGTCGCTCACGGGCTACTTTCTTCTCCTTCTTCACGATGTCTAGTAGCTTCTGGCCATCAGTGGCTGCCTTCTTACTCTCCTTGTGGCGCTTTTCCACGCGTGGTCCGATTGTTTCCCGAGTATGCGTGACAATCTTGATGCTACTGGTCTAAGTACCGAATCTGTAGAGAGAACGTACCGAGACATACCGGTGATCATCGGCCACTGAAAGGCTCGTTTCGAGTGGTTCAGGAGGGCGCAGTTGAGGAATTTCCACGCGTGGTCCGATTGTTTCCCGAGTATGCGTGACAATCTTGATGCTACTGGTCTAAGTACCGAATCTGTAGAGAGAACGTACCGAGACATACCGGTGATCATCGGCCACTGAAAGGCTCGTTTCGAGTGGTCCAGGAGGGCGCAGTTGAGGAATGTCACTGTCATGTTTAGTACTGAACCCTTGGACAGAACTTGAGACTTACAAAGGCCGAGAAAGTTTTGCAAGCACCGATATATCGTACGAATTCATACTTGGGAGACGGATGTTAGACTTTACAGCGAGCCAGATTAAGGGAGTCATCCGTAGCATTTAAATCAGTGTGTACACTGTAATTGTTGATGCTGCGAGTGTACTACCATCTAATTAAACTATGGCTTGTTATAGTTAAGCGGGTTATAATGCGAGATCTCTGCACTAGACCTCACAACTTGCTTGCTGCATCCTCCTGCATGCATACGTCACAATTTGACGAGATGGTGGCTGCTTTATCTGGGAGGCGCCAGATCGTGGGGATAATAGCACAAGTCGATGCAATTGCTGGTCTAACGCCTGCTTCTAGCTGCGAGAAGGACTTGCGATTCAACAGACACTCTGTTGTGGGCACGATCGGCATGCATCAGCGCGCATCATTGGAGACGAGGCGGAAATCATCGTCTCTTGAATGTAAACGTCTAACGAGAAGAGCCCGGTCAAAGACAAGATCTCGAACATGCAAGACGAACGGGAGTACATCTGACGCCTCTTGTCACGAACGGAGTCAGTTATCCTTTTCAGCGCCAACAATCTCATAAGACCAAAGGAAGCAAACAACGCCTGATGTGTCAAAAGAGCTCTCGAGTTCAATCCCAGCCAGCGGGGTCTAGGAGCGTCAACGTGAGCAAGGAGCAGCAGCATGTCTTTGAGTTACAAATACCCCGCATGCTGTATGTTCAGATTGACCAATGTGGGGTTGCACCGCGACAATATTGGTGAATGAGCATAGAGAATACGTGACTCAACAGAAGGGAAGCAAGGAGTTCAATTCTGCATTACTGTATTGATAGGGTTGCATGATAAGTGTATCACACATCGGTCCATGATATGCAGCATCTACCGCAATAGGTGGGCTTGGAAACCATCGTATCCGGAGGCAAATTGCAGGGATATTAGCGAATTGGTCGGGTGAGCTTAAAAGCAGTCGGGTGAACTCGCGAATCAACCTCACCAACAACACCTACCTCACCAACAACACCTACCTCACCTACCTCACCTACCTCACCTACCTCACCTAC